GGATTGGGGAAAAATTGGATCGCATTCCATAACCTCTCTGGAAATATGATTTTGGCGAAATTGAGTTGCGATCTCCCGTTTCTATTCAAGGTTTCTTCTCCGATGAGGCTTCTCTGTGAAGAAGAGGAAGACATGACATAATTAGATTCAAAGATACATTAAATATTTGTTAATTTATACATGATATGTCAACATATCCGAGTGGTTAAGGAGGCAAGAACACAGATCTCTTGGGCTTTGCTTGCCGAGGTTCGAAGAACCACAGTGGCGTCTTGCTTGCCACGTCAACTGCACAGTGGCGTCTTAGTCATCATTTTTAACGGTTGACAAACACCGTCAATGTCAATGTTGATTTTTGCATAATGTATATTAGTTCAGGTTTAAAATTTGAACTTAACAATAGTTCGGGTTGAGAATGACAGGTGGTCGGAGTTTAGGTTGAAAAAAGCCGCCGACAAATAATATAGGTTGATTTTGGCCGTTTTCCCCATGCATGTACCCATCATTTGTTATTTTTATGTTTTTTAAAATAAATTTCTAGCTAGTGTTCTGGTTCGAACAACTCAAATGTTCATTACTCCAAAACAGGACTCGCGGTAAATTTACAGATTTTTTTTTTTTTTTTTTTTTTTGGCTTTTTACGAATAATTATTGTTGAAACATATGAATAATCAACAACAACAACAAATCAGAGCCGTCTGATACTTGCCATGTGAAATTTAGCCTTTTTCTCTGAAATTAAGGAGATGGAAGATTAAAAAGGTGAAGATATCGAAGATGATTTTTCTTTCTTTTTTTTCACCATGACCCCACGCACGTGTGAGTCTTATCCACACGCTTTTTTGTCATTCTCTTTCTCACTTTCTTTGCTTACTTGCAGAAAATTCACTTCACTAAAAGATTTTCATTCTCTCTTTCGTAATCGAACACTAAGGCTGAGCACAACGTGAGAACGTGTTCATCTTGATTTTTTGTGTCTTGTCGTTTTCTCGCAACTTTTCTAGATATTGATTGAAGACTCGTTTTTTTCTTTTCTTTTTTTTGATTTTATTGTAAAATCTATTTTAGTTGTCTATTGATGATTTAAAGTTTGATCTTGTCGGATTTTTAATATCATTTGAATAAATAATACATTTTCTTGCTTAGTATACAACTCTTAAATCTTAACACGTTTGGATTTTTATTTAATTGTATCCCAATCTTGATTTGGAATTCTTAAACTATACGTAATACGTGCTTAGTGTTTTTTTTTTTTTTGTTAACAACTACGTATTAGCTATATATGTCGATAGCAATTCACAAGCAAAAATGTCAACAGGACCTTATATATATATATGTGTATATATATGTAGGATATACAGTATCCGCCAATAAAACAGTGTTCACGTATTTGTTTTTTATAATATTGATAATCTAAAGTGAATAGTATTTACATCTTTATTTTTCATAACGCTTTTAATCAAAGGAATATTAGACCACATTTTTAATTATTTTTTCCCAAATTATCCTTAAATTCGTCATTTTCCTACTTAACTTCTTCTTTTGGAATATCTCACCGCAACACACAAAAAATTAGGTTATATTTATATTCAAGGATAGATAATGATAACGTTTTTGTATTATTTCATTTTGGCCATATTGTTTTTGTATTATTTTGTCTATATCTTTAGCAGGTAAAGAAAATTGCAGAATAGTGATGACCCAACTTCCCATGAGACTGATTGGAGCATGGAAGTTATAAAGCTAGTCAAAAAGCAGTTTATTAGATTGGCAAATCCATAAAAGCGCTTAAAATGTTTGTTAGAATATTAACTTTTGACAATCAGATTCCTGAATTTCTATTTATATATCTATCACAACTTATGTATATTGAATTATTTAGTGTCCCGTCCGAATCAATTTTTTGGTAATAAGTCTAGTTGTTCCGGCAATAAATGAAATGTTTGTATGAGTACTGATTTTCAATTTTTTTGGATTTGGACCCCAAAAAAGGTTTCTTTTCTCCGATAGTACCTAATAATATGAAGTTGTTAGTCAAAAGTAACCATCTAGCAAAATCAACCCAAATGTCAGTTTTCTGGTAACGATGATAGTAAGTTTGTTTGTTCCAACTTAATTATTGCGAGCTAAAGAGATATATCTATATATCGCTTTTGTTGTTGTTGTGTAACTTATTCCTTAATTACGTCATATGAAAAACTAGTTCAAATCATGAACCCTAACAAGAGCTAGCAGTGTATTAATTAGTGATGCATCTTAGATTTCGGATAATTGTTCATCAGTTATATTTTAAATATCAACTTATTCTAGTTTCACTTAAATGATCTTTTAGAGTTTTCTATGACTTTTGCATTTTAAATTAAAGCTTTTTCTAATAAATGTTTACTTAAGTTATGGTTTTATACTTTTTGTTCAATGTTGATATCGATGAAGTACTATTTCATCTTTACTTTGTTTTGTTTTTGATATATCTATCAAAATTTGTAAGAAGTTTTGGTTTTATTTTAAAATTATCAAACTAGACGAATAATCATATGCGATTGATCAGTTATTTGACTTTACCAAGCACCAACCATTGAATCAATTGGTGTAAAAAGTCTGCCTAAGTACGTACTAACAACACTGACACAGAGCCTGCCACATTGCCTTTTGCCTCTTTTTTATCTTTCTGTTTTTTAAAAGATACGCCTTTCCTTTGTGATGTGATGCTAATTTGCCCATGATGGATTCAGATCGTGATCACTCACGTTCAGAAAAAAAAAAAAAAAAAAGTTTAGATCTATACTTGATTGCTTCAAAGATAAGCCAATGTATTTTAAATAAAACTCTCATAAAATTACCCACATTAATGTCTTTTACTACAGAGTATAGATCACGAGGTTTTATGGTTTTAAATCATGCATTTCCATATATCATCATTTCATTGGATTGATCGCAGAATTTCTAGTCAATTTTCATCAACAACTCAGTGCTCATCAAAAGACGATGAAATTAATCTCAGTATAAAGAAAATAACGAGATCATTACACACAACACACACATGAAAATTACATGAGCTATAGATTAATAATAGGGTTGGCCTAAGATAGCCATCACACCTTAACTAAGGAACAAAAAAAAAAACCCAATTTACCAAAAACAACTCAACATAACAAATTAAAAAAAAAAAAAACGAAGTACAAGATTATTGTCGTCAAACAATTACAAAGAGATGTGATTTTTAATAAATACTAAAAAATGGATATAATAACTTATATGTATTAGATTTCGAAAACAAAACCCACTCAGATGAAACTCTCTTTCTAGAAGGTCTTGAATGGCGAATTTGTATATCATGGCTTGTGAGGAGGGCATTGGTAGCATTTAGTAAAGAGACCAAAAGTGTCGATCTGGCGAACAAAGTTGACCATACTTGCCCATCCTCCGAACCCGAACCCAACTACGAATACCCAAACCACCACAAATATGTTTATGCAATAAGTCCCCATCCATCCTCCCACCACTCGCGGTGGTCTCTCCACCGCGTTCTGTTCACATTAACAATAAGATATACCAAAATATTATTCTAACATTCTTGACATAATCTATAAAAATATCTAATAATTTTAATATAAGTATTTATAAACTAATCTACAATTTTCAATTATTTTTGTAAACTTATACTAAAATTGTAATAATTAAGCTTTATATGAAACAAAAATAATTTTAAAACGACATTTTGGAAGACGGAAAGAAATCCAACCTCTCTTGAAGGAGCAGGAGCAAAGGTAAGCATATGAGCCAATGCGGGGATGATGTATACAGTGAAGCTAACTAAGAGAGATCCGACGGCGGAATTGATTGGTCCGAAAAAGGGGAAGATAATGGCTAAGAACCATATGGGTACAACCACGGGTAATCTAGCCATGGCTCTTTTGAACATGCTCTTCGTCTCATGCACACCTATCAATTTTTCCCACACAAAATATAACGGTGTAGATGCGAATCCGAATGTTATAAACTGATGAATGAGCATGAGGATCACTGCGGTATCTCTAAAACCGGACTTAGGGAGAAGAGAGCGCGCATTGGAATGAGTTAGTAGCTGATCGCCAAACGCCC